AGTGTTTGGCCTCCCCAGTATTGACTTTGAAGCTCATTAGAATTGTACAAACTCCATTTCTGCTTCTTATACTGTTTCCATGAGCACTTACATGTTTCAATGAATTACTGCACCTATTTTCAATTTTCCTAGTAAAATATAAAAAAAATGAAGGGTGGCTCAAAACATTTACTCACTACTGTGTACAATATAAATAAAGTACATAAGAATACGCAAAATAAATTGAATTTAAAATGAATAAATGAATTAAAGTAAGCCTGGTACAAATAAAAATAAAGAAAATTAAAGATTAACATTTAAGATTTATAAGATATATAAGAGTTTATATAAAACATGACATCATACAAAGTAGCTTAGGCAGTAACCACACATGGAGTTGTTTGCCTGCAGTGCAAAGGTGTTTAGTCTCAGCTCTCTGCAGTTAATTATTGACTTTTCAGCGTCACTACACAGTTCTGGCCTTTGGTCCCCAAAATAATGTGCTGTGATGATTGTATCCCTCTGAGAACAGACAAACATGGAAGTCGTAAAACAGAACTTTTACTATCACAAACACCTTCATTCAGCCTCAGAATGAAGAGTTGAAATGATAAATAACACTATTGAGTCCACACTGAAGCAGAGGACCACAAGCAGTCATTAGATTCATTATTTTCACATCCTCTTTATTTATTTAAAAAGAGTCTAAAACTCTCTAAAATTTACTAAAACCATCTAAAGAAGTTGAAGTTGGGCCAGGCTGTACTTTCATTATTACCACTTTGTACTCATGACATTACAGTCAGTGAGCATATCCTGGTAAATCCTCCTTTCAAATTCTTTGAATGACCAAAATTGACAAAATAGGACCTGAAAGGATTGACCTAGTTCATTATCTCAGCAGGAAAGTGTTTACGATATAGAGGTCAGAGCCGAGGGGCATATGAATTTCTCAAGGACCAAAAGACTCAAAGACAGACTCAAAAATAGTTTCTTCCCAAAAGCCATAATCACCCTGAACTCCCACACGCACTGACAACACAGTACCACCCCCATCCCAAGGACTTCCCTCTATAAACAGACTACACAACTACCATAACCACTGTGCAATACTTAATTTTACACGCAATAACCTACACTGTAAATACACAACACTATTTGTTTACTTATTTATCTTTTTTATTTTGTTTTCCCAGATTTGTATATTTATACATTTTATTTATGTTTTTTCTTTTCTAAATACTGTTCATATGTATATAGAGCTGCAGAAACTGTGCATCTCACCACCTTTATTCTCCCACATGTTTGCACTGTGTAGGAGATGCTCTGTATCTCATTGTACATCTGTAGAGTGACAATAAAGGCATTCTATTCTATATCTTTTTGCAACTACAGTGGTTACCCCCTAGTGGCTACCATGCAGAATGCAGGTTTAGGGCACTTCCGCTTTATTACCAAACTCAGAGGTTATCTGTGTTTTTACACTGGCTTTGAGTAAGGCTAAAAATACATTTTTCATCAATATTAAAGAATGTTACTGTTAATGTCTGGAAACATCTCACAAGTTAAACGTTGCCTCCTGGTAATAAAAGAACTAGTTCAAGCATTTATTACTTCTCGGCTAGACAGCTGTAATTCGTTATTATCAGGATGTCCCAAAACCTCAGAGAAGTTATCAACAGATCCAAAATGCTGCACTGAGACTACTGTTCAAGATCCTGCTCCTCACATACAAGGTCTTCAATAATCACCATCTTCTCTTAATGACCTCATAGCGTGGTATCACCAAAATAGAGCACTTTGCTCTCAGACTGCAGGCTTATTGTTCTTTGTAGAGCATTTAAAAGTAGAGCCTTCAGCTTTCCGGCCCCTCTTCTGTGGAACCATCTTTAAGTTTGGATTTGGGAGACAAACACTATCTCTACTTTTATAATTTAGATTAAAACTTTACTTTTTGCTAAAGCATATAGTTAGGGCTGTGTCAGGTGAGCCCTTAGTTAAGCTGCAATGAGCAGTGTAATTAAAGCTTCTTACTATTAAAAAGTTTTTCCTTCCCACTGTTGCCACATGCTTGTTCATAGGGGGTCATCTGATTGTTGGGCTTTTCTCTGTATTATTTTAGGGTTTACCTTACAATATGAAGTGCCTTCAGGCAAGAATGGTTGTGATTTGGCGCTATGTGAATAAAATTGAATTGAACTGAACTGAAAGTTTGTTATATTTTGCAGACAGTAAAGCAGAAAGTTGACGTCCCAGCAAAACCACAAAATTTCAATTTCGATAAATTTATAAATGTATATATCTCAAATATTGTGGAAAATATTGTGGAAAATGTTTTACCCTCTGAACCTCTGGATTTTTGCCCCTGTCTTAAATCTATAAACCTTGCAACTTAACCTGGTATCCACCTCCTTGAAATGTAACGACATGTTGCATCAAATTGTCTCGCTCAGTATCTTTCTCTCCTTCTAAACATTTCCAGCCACTACTTCTGTTATGTCATCATGTAGCTGGTCAGTCCTGCAGTAAAATCCATATTCCAAATATATAAACTCTATTCTAATCTACAGGTCACAAAGCCACCGCCTTTAGTATTTACCCAACACAACAAATGAGCCTTTGTTGTGCTGGGTAAATATGAAATAAATAGCTGCTTTGTTTACATATTTGGTTCAGCACTACTAATTTTGCTTCAGTAGGCAACACATTTTAAAAAAAAAAGGTGCAACTTTTACCCTCATAGTGGTCTTTGCACATGTTTGCTGATGAACAATATGCATCTGCATTAGCATAACGAGTACAACAAAACAGGAAATGACCATAAACTAGTATTACTCATTATACAACTTCAACAACGGCAAGCTGTGGCTAAAAAAAAAAAAAAAAATAAAAAAAAAAACTGCCCAAGCTGACAAAGACCAATGCTAGAGACAGTTCCTGTATATTACAAGATAGTTTTTAATCTAGTTGTAATTGACCTTAATACCCGTGGTGGGTACAGAAAAAACAAAATTAAAGCACTAATGGTCTTCTTCTCTGGTCTGTTGCAGAATGTGGGGAAAGCACTACGCTTCAGCTGGCGCTGCCTGGTAACTGGTCTGCAGAGCATGGCGTCCGTGTACTCCACACCTCTCTCAGCTGTGGCCACCGTGGTAACAAATGTTCACCAAGCCAGTGGCAGCAAGACATGATGGGACTCGGAGGGACCAGGAGTGTAGCCCCTTATTCCTTGTGTTCAAGCTGACTTTGAATTCATCAACTCTGTTGTGCCTGTTTTGTTTTTATTCTATTTCTGAGATATAAACTGTATATTTACTCGATTTATGAAAACCATTGATACCTGTCACATTTATGGCCTTAGTTTTCAAATTTGAATCGAACCCTGCTGTTGTGTTAAATTAAACAATAGTCTTTCATGTTTCAAAATTCACCTCACGCAGACCCTTCAGAACACTTTGGGTTTATTTACAGTGTTAAGAAGCTTTCTGTTCCGTGTGGGCTTTGGTAACCACTGGCAACCAAACAACTAGCAATGTCTGTGTACAAATCTCAACGATAACAAAGGAAGCTCCACCTTGTGGTGCTTCTCCACAACTGCACTTTAGAAACTCATTGACAGAGATAAATTTTCGAGGTTCTGGAGCACTAAACGGATATATTCTTCCAGTCAACCAACCATATTTGGATGAAGTAAAGATGCTCTAACAGGACACTGACACACTCCTCTCCTTTCTGCTCTTTTATGTTTTTATCAAGGTTAGGAGAGTTAGTAAATGCTGTTAAAATAATCAGAATGAACAAAAAAAAAAAAACTAACTAATTTGTCTTTCATGATGTTTGTTTACATAATCAAAGGTCAGGTACTTTTTGTGCATTTCACAAGTGCTTATTGAAAAATAAATGTAAATATGACAAAAGTGTGAGGACATTTGTTTTTAAGTGGGCGTATTTGTTGATAAGTTATCTGTAATACAACGCAGGAGGTGTAGCACACACTTTTCCATAGCTGTGGACGATGCAGGGAATAAAAAAGCTTCTACAGCAGCTACACAAAAGAGAGTAGAGCTTTCACATCATCATATATGACAGAGTAAAAACGAAAAAATTTTTTTTCCCCCCCCCCCCACGCATTGCTGCTTGCGTGTTTCTACATGGACACCCCTTAAAGCTTGTATAATTAAACTTTGGTGCTTTTAGGCACTAGAGTTGTAAAAGGCTATTTTAGGTAACTGCATCCCTCTCAAAACATGAGCTGATATCGATTAGATTTTCTCAGCCATGTTTCGGGTGTAGGATGCCACATTATCTCTTTAAATGGGCCTCTAGATGCTTAAACACCATTGCTGGCAAGCTGCATTTGACCTGTGGTCAGCTAGTCAAATACTGATAATATTAACTATCAGCAGCCTGGTATGACATCTATGATGCCTATCCAACATGCCTCACCTGTGGACTCTCAGGGTGTCGGACATTAACTGAAGAGTTAATACTAAAACTGGAACGGAGCAGTCTTATGCTCCACAGTAAGTGTTACATCATCTTTCCCTTTTTATTTAAACTCGATCTTTCATCATCCTTTTTTCTATTTAAACATCACCCCTTGTCTTGGTTCTTTTTTTCTCCAGCATCCATATCCTCCTTTACTTTTACAAAACCCCTCATTTCCTTCTTCAGTAATTTTCTCCACTGTCTGCAGAGCTTAATTTATTTTCTTTCATTGCCTCTTTGGCTGTACCTTCTCTTTTCCAGTACAGGTGGTCCTGGTGCCGGACCGCACATGACCTCCGGGTGTCGCTGTACCGCTGTACTGAAAATAGTCCCCGCTGTCGGGCCTTATGGAGAAAAGAAGGCGTAATAAAGTTGGCCCTGAATATAAGCCGCCTCCTGCTTGACAGGTCAACCACTTTCTTGTGACAGCAGCAGCTGTTCAGACCTGACCGGCACGCGCTGCTCAGAGGTCTGCTGGAACAACATGTGGAGCTCCTGAAGACATCAAAGTTGTGAGTTTTGAAGTTTCCAGCATGGTAAAGGTCAGGATGAATCAGCTTGTGGGAGACCAGACAGGCCCGCTCATGTCCCCGCTGCAGCTCTCCGTCTACTGGCGCCTCGCTCTAATCTTCTTCTTCACGGCTTTCCTCTTTTTTCTGGACATTTTCACCACCGCTGTGGTCGCTGAGACATGTCGCCATGGCAATGATACTGGCACGTTTGCTTCGTGGCTTGAAAAGTTGGCACCGAACAAGGAGGAAAACCAATCAGCGCTCAGCAAGGTTTTAAAGGACGACGCCGATTGGAGGACAGAGAGCGGGATCCGAGACGTGAGTGAAGATTATTTTCATTGAGAGGTCTGAAGTTGTAACACAGTCATGAATACTGTGATGGTGCAACACCTGGGGATATTTTTAAGTGCGTGTTTCTTATTCCCTTTACTGTTATAGTTATCTCATGGTTTAAAGTGTAGGCCTAAATATAGTTTCAGACACATTAGAAATGAAGTGTAATGAAATGAAAAACGTGCAATTAATAAACTTTAGATTTTCTAGTTATATAACTTTCAGTTTTTGACACCACTGAAAGGCCAGCTTGGGGCCTCTTTCACCAAACATTGTTTCAACATTAAATGATCGGTTTAAAGTCTCAGCCAACATGCTAACTGGACAGTATTCTGCATTACATAACAGCAACTCTAGAGATTAACATGGTGTTAATGATCAACTTGAAGCTATTAATGAACCATTTCTGAGGGTAAAGTAAAAAAAGCTAATTTTCTGTAAATTGTCTGTCATTAATCGTAACTGAATTTAGCCATGCTTAGCATAAGCACGTGTTGTAATCTTTTTAACTCGTTATAGACATTTGTAGTCATGTCTGGACCTCTATCTAGGAAATCCAAGAAAGGTTTCAGTATTTTTCAAGCACAGAATCAAAAATTTGCTAGTTCCGTCTTCCAAATGCACCTGTTCAACTGCTTATTAAAGCAAATTTCTGATCAACCAGTGGCAGCAACTCAATGCATTTACGCATGTAGACATGGTCCAGACAACTTGCTGGGCCAGCACCAAACTATGCATCACAATCGAAAAGAAAGGGTGATTTAAGTGAATTTGAATGTGGTTGTTGTGTTGTGCTCTTCTGGGATTTTCCCCCTCAACCATTTCTAGGCTTTACAGAGAATGGTCTGAAAAACACTGCAGTTTTCTAGGTGAAGAGGAAGATCTTGGAATGTACAGCATGTAGGTGCATTCCTGAATATGTTAGAAGTCACAAATTCTGAGTTCGCAATTGGAATTTTTTTTATGAAATGCCCCTTTAACTTGCATTTCCCACTCAGAAATCCAAAGCAGACCAACATACCACGGATTACTAACCCGGCTGAATAGGGCTGTGCGATATGACCAAAATCTCATATCCTGATAAGGCATTTATCGTCCTGATAACGATATAAATCACAAAAATTTAACATTCTCTGTAAATTCTGTGAATCTCGGGCAGCTCGACTTGCGTGAAGTGTTTCCAGCTGGGCGTCGTGTACCTAGAGTCCAGTGTTTTAACCGATGCATGAAACTATACATTTTAGACATAAGTTTTAACGGCTGCCGTTTTCTTTGTGAATATTATTACACAGCGTGCTGCAGGGAAAAGCCTGTTCTAACGTTTGAGTCTAAGGTTTATTTTTTAGCACCTGACGGCTCTTTTTTACTTTTCATCAGTAAATATTCTGCATCTTCCACGTGATTCAGTTTATTTTGAAAAGTCTCAACAGGATAAAAGGATTTTTGATTCAGTTCTTATTCAACTAGTAAAACACATCCAAACACATCCAAACTGATTATGGCCAAGTTAATAAACCCCCACAGCTACACATACACGTCATGTCTCTCATTGTAAACAGAAAAGTTAATCTTTGTGAAACTTGTTTCATTGCATCTTATATTTTGGTTCTCTGAGTGTATTCTGGACTTGAACATCTATATTTGCCTGTGTGTGTGTGTGTGTGTGTGTGTGTGTGTGTGTGTGTGTGTGTGTGTGT